AGAGTGTCACGTCTTTTCTTGGGGCAAAAATATTTGCATTTATAACATCATTTCCCTTTTCATTTCAGGCCCTATACAAGTTATGTATGCAGTTTTGAATTCATGAAATATGACGCAGTTTTGAATTCATGAAATTTGACATACAGTTTTGAATTCATGAAATATGACACACAGTTTTGAATTCATGAAATATGATACACATTTTTGAATTCATGAAATATGACACACAGTTTTGAATTCATGAAATATGACGCAGTTTTGAATTCATGAAACATGACATACAGTTTTGAATTCATGAAATATGACACACAGTTTTGAATTCATGAAATATGACACACAGTTTTGAATTCATGAAATATGACACACAGTTTTGAATTCATGAAATATGACACACAGTTTTGAATTCATGAAATATGACATGCAGTTTTGAATTCATGAAATATGATGTACAGTTTTAAATTTATTAAATATGACATACAGTTTTAAATTCATGAAATTTTGCCTACATTTTTAAAGCCAGATTTATTGCTCCTCAATGTCAGTTTTAAACTGCCTGTTTGCTTTCACACACTGTGTTTATTATTCAGTCATCCCCTTGTGAGTTGCAATTTTTTCGTTATTTTGAAGCCCCACCCTGGCTCTTGCTAGGGGCAGCAATATAGCCCGGCCTTAAAAATGGCCTAATGGCTAAACGCGGTTTCTGGGACCCCTCAACGGGTGATCCTCATCCGCATGGTGGCACTTTGTGTCATCGGGTGTTTATCGCTTGTGTTATGTACTAATTAGATAAAATATACTACTACTAAACACACTGAGTATAAAATAGGATAAACACAACGTCTATCAAACAAGAGAGACAAACAATGTTAAAAGAACAAGGAGCACTAAATAAACAGTGGGCACCTGGCTGTCCTCCAGCTCAGTCAGTTGGTAGTGGGACCCGCCTTTATGTCCCCCACAACAGGTGTATACTGGAATGTTGGGCTCTACATATTTGGCACGATTCAGCACCACACCGGTCTCCCAGCCTGAGTCGTCCTGGATCACCAGACTCAACTACTCGGGCAGAGACCCATCGTCCTTCTTTTGTGTGGCCACTGTCACGTGAACTGGGGTGTCTGCAGAGAATAGTTCCATGTTTAAAAACTGCTCAGTCTGCAAGGATTAGTCGATGTTAAATTTGAGGTTACACTTGTAGCAGTAATACAAACATCAGCTAAGTCAGTGTTACTGCAGAACAAGTTTGTAGTGCAGCAATACAAACATCAGCTAAGTCAGTGTTACTGCATAGCAAGTTTGTAGTTCAGCAATACAAACATCAGCTAAGTCAGTGTTACTGCAGAGCAAGTTTGTAGTGCAGTAATACAAACATCAGCTAAGTCAGTGTTACTGCAGAGGAAATTTGTAGTGCAGTAATACAAACATCAGCTAAGTCAGTGTTATTGCAGAGCAAGTTTGTAGTTCAGCAATACAAACATCAGCTAAGTCAGTGTTACTGCAGAGGAAGTTTGTAGTGCAGTAATACAAACATCAGCTAAGCTACACAAGCAAAGTCAGTGTTACTGGGATGGAAGTTTATAGTGCAGTAATAGAAACAACAAGTAAGCTAGCACTACAGTGTTGAATGTTAACAAAACAGAAACAAGGAAATAAGTTTACCTTTTTCCCCCCTGTGTGGGAGTGTCCTGGCTGTCACGTGCTCTTGCATGTATTACTAGACCAATCAGCACGTATTGTGATCTAAATATCTTAGACTTCATGTTCACGCATCGATTTTAGAGTGGTTCCTCCCTGTGGGTTCAGCAAACCCACTTATGGGTTTACAAGAACAATTCCACTGCCGCCATAACAAGTAAGTCGTAAAAGTTGACAGGTTAGGGGCATTCTTCGAAGTCTAGGTGCATCTGCAGATCTGTAAAACTGATGTACACACAGTCTCAAGTTTTAGAATAAGACCAAAGTCCGAAAGTGGACAAACAACGAGAATTTTCAACCGAAGTTAACAGCCGGTGAACGCACAGAATCGAAGAAAAAGACCGCGTTGACCTCGAAAAAGACCGTTTTCTTTCGCAAAGTCCCCGTGTCGAGAAGATTCTAACACGATACCGTTAGAGCATCTGACAAGCGAGCTAGCCACTGAGCCACCGCCGCTACTAACAGTAACAAAGTTGCCACCAGAGGAGCGGGTGTACTGGAAACATGGAACGGCAGCACACAATTACAGTGGTTATTACTTGCTGCAGATTTCACCACGACAACCAGCAACTATATCACTAGTAACAAACTGATAACACTAGCCATGCCGTCAAACACAGTAAATCTCTTTAACAACGCCTGGGTATAGTCTTTAGTGGCCGTGCTTGTTGCTTCATATCGTTGTCTTCTTCTTGCATTCACACATCTGTGTTATGGTCTCAGGTCTGTTATGTCAGTCATACACAGTAGCGACACATTTATGAGAATATACACCCACATATTTCAGTGATATGTCTGGTTTGGAGGGGACAGCTTACCCGGCATGCCATTCCCCAGGTAGAACAAGACCATGTTGAGAGCAACATGAAAGGCCAGCAAACGTCTGTGGTCAACCAGAAGTTCAAATATCGCCATCTTGTAGCTACTGACGTAGCACTATTGCTGTGAGTTGATTGGAATTTGCCTAGAATGTTTCGTCTCTTCGGCTGAAAAAGAAAACGTGAGTGATGAGAATGCAATTGCAGGCAGCTAAACACGCACACACTCACATATGTATATGCACACATACACACACACACACACACACACACACACACACCCACTAAAGATGCCAGTAATTCAGAACTACGCGTCAATGTCATTATCTGATGGGGAAACACAAAAATGAAGTTCTTGCTTTGGCGGTAAACGAAACTAAATGGTTTGTATTATTTTAAAGAAACGCAATTAATTCTTAGTTGTCAGCCAAGGAAAAAATGACAATATTCTCTCCTAACATGGAAATCTTTATGGAATTCCAGAAACGATAGTCAACATAATTGCTCTCTTCTATAAAGACTTTTCCTGCAGTATAAAAAATTACAATAAATCTTTCTGAGTAAAGACAGGTGTAAGACAGGGATGTGTTATGTCATCTCTCCTCTTCAACCTTGTGATTGATTGGATACTAAAAAACACAGTAGACAAGAAATTGAAAGGCATTCACCATGTTTGAGAACATTGATTTTGCAGATGATATAGCACTCCTATCACATAAACATGAACATATACAAGAGATAAGTAACAGACTACACAGCACAGCAGAAATTGTGGGACTGAAAATAAATAAAAAGAAAACTAAGATCATGACAAACAGTCCAAACCAACAACCAGTTACCATAAGTAACCAATCACTTGAAAATGTAGAATATTTCACATATCTTGGCAGTGTGGTGTCCCTACTGGGAGGGACAGAGGAAGACATACAGTCACGTCTGAACAAAGCTAGAGCTGCTTTTTGAAGGATAAGGCAAATCTGGAAATATAACAGTTAATGCAGAGAAACAAAACTCAGACTCTACAAGAGCATCATTTTGCCAGTTCTTCTTTATGGAGCGGAATGCTGGAGAATGACCAAAAAGGATGTACACAAGCTGTCCACCTTCCACCACACATGTCTACGTAGAATTATCAAAATTTTCTGGCCAGATACAATCTCAAACACTAAACTACTTCAAGTCACAAACCAAGAAACTCTAGACAGCATGATAACCAAGAGAAGATGGAAATGGCTTGGCCACGTTATGAGAATGAATCCTAATATACCTGCCAAAACAGCTCTCACATGGATACCAGAGGGAAAGATAAAAAAGGAGCTCCCAAAAACAACAGGGAGAAGAACGATGGAAAGTGACCTGAGTGCGGCATCTTTGACATGGAAAACTGCATTGAAGATTGCACAGGACAGGAAAGCATGGAACGTACTCTCTGAAGCCTCGTGTGCCACTAGGCATAACTAGAACTGATGACATAGAAACCTTAAATGATGAGTCATTTTTCAAGTGATAGTAAACACCAGAGAGTTGCTTTCTTTGCTAGGTTTCATTTTCCGAGATATCTAAAGACCTTAATCGCCCTCAATCGTCGTCAAAAAACAACATAGGCCAGGAGAACTTAGCAGGGAAGAACTCATTACTCGACAGAAATGTTTAACCCGCTTGTTTATAGCTGTGTGTGAATTGGGGTGTTTCTGTGCTCATTTTAAATTTTCGGCTAACGTTTTGTTCGGGGAAGCAAAAGATATGAAACCTCAAAAGTTTAACAATGAATGAATAGAGTGAGAGCAGGGCTTCAGCAAACGGTCCGGTTTGAGCCGCATACTCACATCAGACAATCAGAGAAGACCCAGTAGTCTCCAAGAGATGGATGCAGTGGCCAGATTGTCAGATGTTAAAGCTGGATTTAAATATGTTCATATGTTCTAGTGCCTAATTTACGACCAGGTTCACAGTCCGGCTTGGGAGAGCCCAATTACAGGTTGTTGTGTTAGGTCATAAATATGATTGTTTTGGGGAATACATCAGGCAGTAAGTGTTGAGGTCGGTGCTATGCTTGATGGACGGTTTGCATTGTTTAATTCTGTCCAGGTGAAAACAAACATATCCAGTTGTCAATAGTCTCGGTCAGGTGAGAACCCAGGTAAGTACTTGCTTTGGCGTTTAGTTAGAAACATGTCAATAATAAATTACTGTTGGGAATGTTTTTGTTTCAAACTGTGACCGTAAATGTGAGCAAGCTAATTATCTTGACAATCAGTCGGTGATTGTGGATTAAACAATAGGACTTAGGAAAGCCCAAAAAGAATAATAGACAGCGGTTTTGCAGTTTTCGTGCTAGACTGTTGCGTTGCTCACAGACATTTTCTCTAAACATAATCAGAGTTGCAATATCTCTATAGTGGGAAGAATAGTTGCAGCAATGGGCTGTGTGCTGGAAAGTTAAATGCGGCTGAAAGTGAGCTGATCATCCAACACATCACTGCACTCATGGTTTCACACACAGCAGTACTTAGTATTGTACACAGTGGTAAAGGTATTGACAGAGAGACGTGGATGCATACTTGCAGGGACACAAACAGTTGGGGATGCAAGAGGTTGGGGTGTAGATACATGAGGATGTGGACAAACGGGGTGAGTACAGATGGTGATGTGAACAGATAGGGATGTAGACACATGAGGTGTGTACAGATGGGATGTAAACAGACAGTGAGGTGAAAAGATAGAGGCGTGGACAGACAGGGATCTGGATAGATCGGGGTGTACAACATAGGACGGCCAGTGGAAACGGCCAGTGTGTGAATAGAAGCCGGCACGAAATTTCGCGTCCGACGAAATAGGGTGATTTTTGCGATTTGTAGCCAGGAAACACCTTTTTCGTAAATTGGGAAAATACTTGAGGAAATCAGAGATAATCGTTAACCCAGTGTATACAAAAAAACAACGGTATGAAACATAGAATGACAGGGTTGACTTTGACAACTTTGTTCTTCTTAATGACTGCAGGCTAGATTGTAAATACACAAATCGCAACCAGAAACGGGATTAAGTGAACATTGAGGAAAGAGATTTCTAACATTCGCATGAACAGGTTTGGCTGATCAGTCAGCACAGTCACGACAGAAATGACGTGTTTGTGTATAATGACAGGTGTACCAAGGAAATACGAACTAAGAAACGATGATGTCAGGAGGAGAGGGCCTAGAACCAGTACTGAACTTTATCTTTACACGACAGATCAATGAAATGGTTTGTGCCATCTAACAAGATTGGCATCAGACAAGGCACCATAGAGAGCAATGTTATACAGAAAAGCGGTAATAGAGATAACGGTTAGCCACAAAACAGATTGACGGCAGAAATAGGGAAAACACTGAAGCACTGGATACGAAGTTATAAAGTGGGGCCCGAAGCCAATAGAGGGACATGTTCCAAAAATCTCTTCCTGACCTAGCGCTGTGAGGCATTCCAGGAGTAGAGAACAGAAGAAGGAGGAGAGGAGAAGTCAGTTTACTGACTAAATGTCGGGAGTTACATTTTCTAACTACATGACGACAGGTCATTTTACTTTCTGCTTGATGAATGTCTTTCCCACTCCTGATGATTTGAATAGGAATTCCATCTCTGCCTGGGGCTTCCCCTGAAGCCAATTCATCAATAGCATTCCTAACCTCTACAACTGTTGGAAATGTGTCCAGATAGTCAAGAGTTGGTAGCGTCTCCGTGGCATTAGGAGCACCATCTTCTAGTTTAGTATCAATTGAGTAAAGCTCCAGATAATGTTCCACCCATCTATCTAGATGCTTCTTCTTGTCATTAATAATCTCCCCATTCAAATTCTTTAGTTGTGCACATGTTTTAAAATAGTGGGACCGATGGCCTTCTTGATTCCCTCATACATGCCTCTAACATTACCACTACTGCTAGCATTTTGAATGTTTTCACATAACTGGATCCAGTAGTTGTTGGCACACTGCCTGGCTACATTTTGCAAATGATTTCTAGCTGCTCTTAATTCAATGAGAGTGTTCCTTGTTGTTGTTTCCTTGTTTCTAAGGAGTATTACCGATTTGCTGTTAATTAAACTAAATAACTGATTTGCTTCAAACCAGTCCTAACTTCTATTTTCTTTAATCCCATAGACTGATACAGCTGTTTTGTAAACAGTCTCCCTAATTTCATCCCATTTTATTCTTGCTATAGAGTTATCCTGGATATCAGTGAAAACATCTTCAAGCTGTTGTTGAAACTCAAAACACTTTTCAGGGTCTTTAGTTTTGAAAATATTTAACCTAGGGATATATTTGTTTTTTAAAGTAAAAATTCTCATTGGTTTCATCCGAACTCTTGGGGTAGCTGTGAGTTAGTAAAACACAGTTCAAGTGCTGCCTCCTTGTGAGAATAAGGTGCAGTTGGTGCCAGTGGCCAGATCTTGGATGTTTCCATGACACCGTATGGCAGCCTTTTGTTTTAAAAAAGGAGTTTGTGATGCACAAGTCACTTCTAGTGCAGAATTCCAGTACTCTCTGCCCATTTTCATTCATGTGGCCAACATTATATTGTCCAAGACAAACTGGCCATGAGTTTGAGTCTGACCACACGCGATCATTAAAATCACCAAGTATATAGATGCCGTCAAATTTAGAAATTGATTTCACTGCGTTATCCAGTTCCTCATAAAAAGAATCCTTTGCGTCGTCTGTTGACGTTAGAGTGGGTGCATATGCAGTAACAAGGGTAATAAAACCGCTTTAAGTAGACAATCGCAGGGATAATATTCTGTCACTTCCTCCAGTTGGACTCTCAACTGATCCCAACAATGAATTCTTTACTGCAAACCCCACTCCATACATCCTGATTTCTTCCTGGCCTCTGCCTTTCCAGAAAAAATGTATAGTTATTTTCTCTAATAGACCCATCCTAGGGCAGACGGGTTTCTTGTAGGCTAGCAATATCTATGCCAAGTTTGTTGAGTTCGGCATCAATGATAGCAGCTTTTATCACATCATTAATGTTTTCCTGGTCAGTGGAAAACCCTAGACACATGGTCCTCACGTTCCAAGAGCCAAGTCGAAGCTTGGGGTTATGTTTCTTTTTTATCGTCTGGTGCATTGGTTTTACAGCGTGCAGTTCGGATTTTGTCCAAGCTCCAAGCACCTATTGAAAGCATACAATCTGTGGCGGATCAACACCTTATTTGCTGGTCGCTGTCCAGCTTGAGGCGGGCGGTAGTTGATCAGTGACATTCGAAGATGTCCCCCACCGTCAGAGGCAACCCGTGACGCCCCTGTCTACGCCAACTGACAAGGATTTATAACCCGTAACTGTTGCCTCTCGATTTGTTTCCGAGACCGATTAAGACCAGGGATGTAGTTCCTTCTCTCCATAGCACAAAGCCTGGGCAGTACTGTAGAGATCATTTGTTGCCCATGCATAATGATCCTTCCATCCACCTGCCTTGTTTAATCCAAAAGAAAGGTAAAACCAGTACGTTTGGAAGAGGCAGGTTGCAGAAGCTACCGGATCAGAAGAATAGTGCTCTATCTGTCTGCCTGTTGGAGCTTCCCTGGTCTGCCCTGCCATAACAGAAAGTTTTCAGGTTGCATTTCCTCTTCCTAGGATAAGGCTAGAATTCTTCTCCACGCGCTCCTCCGCCCGAAGCCGTTGGCACAATATGGGATATTGGGTTAGTATACACCGCCCAACATTCGACGTAACCGAAGACAGATGGTACCGGCTACTGTCATATACGGTCCTGGGGCAGATTTTCCACGGGCTCTGTTCCCAACTCCTGCGACCTCTCACCAAGAGTCAGGCATCGTTTTTAACTTTGCCTTCGGCGACTCAGGCCTCTGGTGATGTCTGCGTTGTCATCGAGAGGTGAATTCCTTGTCCCGTCTGAGTACATCTTCAGTAGATGCGACTCCAGTTCCTCCTTACTGACAACCAGAGTCCCAGAAGTTGGTTGCTTGAACAGGCTTCGGGCAAACTGGAACGGATCTCTAAAGATATTTTTTTTTTCGTTCTAATAGAAACGCTGAGCGTGACAGAGAGCACAGTGTCCGGTCTTCAGATGCAACAAGACCTTGCGTTCGCTGCCTGTAAAGGCTTAAAGCCCTTTTCTTTAATATTTTTTTTTTGCTCGGCACTTCTCAATGTTCCTCTGCATTCTGTTTATTTTTTTCCCGGCGTGACGCCGAGCTGCGTCTTCTCGACTGCCTCGAAGTCGCAGGCACAGTGCTTGTAGATTATGTCACAATACCGTGTTAGTTTTTCACCTAATGACAAAAAAATTCACCAATACTAATCTCACATAAATTACATTTCAGCGTTCACCAAGACACGCTATCGCTTGTGGGTAGCAACTTGATCCTCGCCCGCTCCTCGTCAGAGATTTTCAAATATGCGCCTCGGAGAAAGACGTCTTGAGCCTCTGCGGGCGAGCAGGGATCATCATGCCCATCGTTCTTTGACGACTCACGTGCTATCGTAGTAGCCTTGCGCCGGCGCTTACTACATGACGCACCTTCACATGTCATCCTTCCGGCGTGCGTTCTCAGACCATGCTGGCCCGTGAAGCTAATCCCACATGTCGCTGAGCGAAAATCACGATCTGGTGATCGGTAGTGTCGTTACCGTTATCATCAATAGGAATGGGTTCTTGATTCCCCTTCCTTTCGAAGGACCTAGACTGAACATTTCATTATAGGTAGCTTTCGCAATCAGTTGATTATACTGAGGTTGGGGGGATCAGCCCGGTCTTCTCAGGGCGTGAAAACGTCTATCCCGATAGTCACTAGTCTATCCTGGATGTCTGTGAATGAATGTTGAATTAAGAATCGACATCACAGCACTCGGGAGACTCCCATAGGTGCACAGGATGTCTGGGAACTATAAAACAACTCCACAGGGGAGCATGCACAGTAGGGGTCCACCGAATAGCAGTAGAAAGGTCCTTTATCGATGATTGTTTTTGGCCTATTAATTTCCTATACAGTCTCGGAGGGTGAGCCGACCTGGTTCTTGCCGCTAGGCCTCGGAAATCCCCTGCTGTACTTTTTTGGACATTCGGACAGGGACAAGATAAAATAGTGAGCGCTGCCGCTCCTTGGGGCAAAAAAGAGGGGGAGGGGTGGGGTAGAGGAGAGGATAGCTGCATAGTACACATTTTAGTAGTCTGAGATGCGATAAAGAGAGAGAGAGAGAGAGAGAGAGAGAGAGAGAGAGAGAGAGAGAGAGAGAAGTATGCACACACACACACACACACACACACATATATATCAAAGGACGTCAAACGTCCACCCTGACTTTACGAATACACGGTGTTTGTATATATATATATATATATATATCTATATATATATATATTATATATATATATATATATATATATATATATATATGTGTGTGTGTGTGTGTGTGTGTGTGTGTGTGTGTGTGTTTGTCAGATCTAGGATCGCAAGCGTTTATGTCGGGTTTTATACAAATTATTAACGAAACAAATAGGGCGTACACTCATCTACATGGTTGACAGCCTCAAACATCAAGGTGGTCCATACAAATATGCGGCTAGCAGTATGTGTCCATGATCTTAAACTTAAAGTGAAGCCGCCCTTTACCACGCCAATAGGTTATAGGGCATATAGAGCTATACCTATATTTTATAGACCAATCGGCACAAGATGGGTGGTGTGGTCAGCATCATGCCGACCGCCTTTACTTCCCGGGACTTGATTCAAGGCTGGGTCGACCTGGGAGCCAAGGTCATTTTTGAAAAAACTCCAGTTCCACCAAACTGTGAACCCACGACCTTCCGATCCGCGGCGAGCGTGTCTATGATGTTGACAAATACTACATAAAACTAGCAGGTTTTGTGCCGTGAAAATGACGAGAGAACATCTATCGCTCACTGCCTGATTGTGGGTCGTAATGAGGTAGTGAGCAGACACCTGGAAGACTAAACCGATCCCAATGAGCAATGAACTTCAAACATTCTTTTTGCGCATGTGTAGGTTAGGGGCGGCAGTAACCATCTGAGAGAATCACTGAAAGCACCTTAGGTCTGAGTCGACATGAAAAAGCTGGCTAATGCATGACACTGATCGTTGCGGTTATTGTCAAAGGAATGAAGACAAATCCGCGGGTACTCAAAAAAATTCACGGCTGTGTCGAGGTGCTGTTGCCAGATTTGTGTCGCCCTGGAAGCAGTCTCGTCATTTTCCCATAGGGTTATACGAGTATAGCATACTCCAACAATAATGTCATGGCCACTTTCCAACAATGATGTCACATGACCACGTTCCAACAATGATGTCACATGACCACGTTCCAATAATGATGTCACATGACCACGTTCCAACAATGATGTCATGACCACGTTCCAACAATGGTGTCATGGCCACATTAAAACAATTATGTCATGACCACATTACAGACAATGATGTCATGACCACGTTCCAACAATGATGTCATGACCATATTCCAACAATGATGTCATGACCATATTCCAACAATGATGTCATGACCATATTCCTACAATGATGTCATGACCATATTCCAACAATGATATCTTGACCACGTTCCTACAATGATGTCATGACCATATTCCAACAATGATGTCATGACCACGTTCCTACAATGATGTCATGGCTACATTCCACCAATGAAGTCATGGTCACATTCCAACAATGATGTCATAGCCACATTGTAGACAACGATATTATGACCACATTAAAGACAATGATGTCATGACCACATTCAAGACAATGATGTCATGACCACATTCAAGACAATGATGTCATGACCACATTCTAGACAATGATGTCATGAGAACATTCTTGATAATAATGTCATAGCCACATTCTAGACAACGATGTCATGACCACATTTTAGAAAATGATGTCATGACAACATTCTTGACAATAATGTCATAGCCACATTCTAGACAACGATGTCATAGCCACATTTTAGAAAATGATGTCATGACCACATTCTAGACAATTATGTCATGTCTATATTCTAGACAATAATGTCAAAGCCCCATTCCAGACGACGATGTCATGTCCACATTCCAGACAATGATGTCATTACCACATCCCAGACAGTGATGTCCACATTCTAACAATTAATTCATGACTACATACCAGACAATGATGTCATGGCACCTCCCAGACAATGATGACATGGCCACATCCAAGACAATTGTGTCGTGGTCACATTTCAGACAATTGTGTCATGACTACATCACAGACAATGATGTCATGACTACATTCCGGACAATGATGTTATAGCCACATTTTAGACAATGATGTCTTGACCACATCCTAGACGATGATGTCATGACCACATTCCAGACAATGATCTCATGACTACATCCCAGACAATGATGTCCTGACCACATTTCAGACCAAGCCGGTGGTCTGTTCCACTGGCACATACTAGCGCAGCCGCCATTGAATGTGAGAGTTTTGTGTTTCCTTTTCTGAAAATTTCCCCGTATTTTTGATTAGAAAAATTTCCATCTTAGTATCGGTTCCTTTGTGTTAGTGTGTATGTGTGTTTGAGTTGGTGTGTATGCATGTTTGTGTTGGTATGTATGCGTGTTTGTGACGGTGGGTATCCGTGTTTGTGCGGGTGGGAATGGGTGTTTTTGTAGGTGTGTATGCATGTTTGTGCGGGTGAATACGCATGTTTTTGTGGATTCACACCTGTGTTTTCATGAGCACAAATGTTTAAGAAAGTAATTATAAAGAAACAAGTTTCTGAACGACAGAATCACGCTCACTCTGCATAACTCAGCGGCAACTACTATAGAAGACTTAAAAATGGTGTACTGACTATTGGAATGAAAACGAAACAAAATAGTTAACAAATCATAATTTTTTCATATGTTTTATATTTTATATGAATTTACATTTAACGGACCCCTTTTCATATTTCAGGTCGAGTGTTGGGAGATGTGTTCCACAAATGTAGCAGACTTTTGTTACACCAGTCACGTATTTCTGTATCGAGTCCACAGAGCGTGTTCTTTGTTGATGTCTGCAATGAAACAACTGTTTGAGTAGAAGTCTAGACAAACAGTAAATACTTCAATGTCACACACCCACACGCCTAAAAACTCGCTCACCAACACTGGACTGCAGGCTTTCCTAGACTGGTAAAAGTTACCGGTGACCTTGTTTAATCTTCTTAGAATGTTTAACAAAGTTTCTGGGTTTTATCATTCTGTCACAAGACGGATTAGCTGAGTCACTCGAAGAGCTTGTAGAGTCACAAGAATTGTGGTGCAGTTAAAAGAAGGGCTAGTGGAGTCGCAA